ATTTGCTTCACTTTGTAGACCAAGCATCCTTTCCTCAGGGAAGCTTAATTAATACCTGTTAAATGAGTGATTTACCAACAGAAAGACATTGCCAGAGGTTGAATGCCAGATCCTGGGGCATCTAGGTAAAATATGCCATCAATCACCTGGTGAAATGAAAAAACTCCAGTGCACTGAAGCTGCTTTTGAACTAGAACTGCAGTTGAAATGAAAGGAAACTGCCCCAAACTCTGATCTTGCTTCAAACTACATGTCATCAACTCTCATGGAGAGGTGGTGCACAAGGATGAGTTACATGGTCTCTCCCAGTATATCCACTCCTTAGTAGTGGACAGATCTTGTGAAATTCTCCCATTCAGGACCTGAAATTATTCTCATGATTGGGCCCGGTGATACGGAAATGGAGAAGAGTTGTTAAAGATGAGAAAAGACCACCAATAAGCTGACTTTGTACTAACCGAAAGAGAACTACGTTAGGGGGATTCCTGCCTTCAAAAGCTTTGGTCTTAAAATTGTGTTTATAATCCAAGAATTAATTACAGAGAATTCAGATCCTCTGGCCCAGATGGAAGAAAATCTTCCATGTGTATAGTAAACCGCACACAGGGAAGTGTATATAGCTTTGAGGAGCTGAGGGCCTCAGGTCCACAGCAGCCACAACCAACTACAGTTTACTTACAACCCAAAGAAATGTAAGAGACCCCACGTTGCAGAGGGCAACCCTGGCTCAGTCAGCTTCTGCTCTTCTCCCTGCAGTCTTGGGACAAACACTCTCCCACTGAGCTACATTGTACATCCTCGACCAACATCTTCTTTTCTTTCCCTTTCTTGTTTACTAATGCACATTAATTATATAAGTGAATGGGTTTAACTCTGAAAAAATGTAAGATCCAGTTGTCAGTTTAAGAATTACTGTGATATTGAAGGAACACTGGGTGCAAATCACATTCAAAAGGCATTATCGCCAAACAATGTGATACCAAGTCACTGGCATTTCCTATGGGCATAAATGCCACAGACTTTCAGTAATTTATGGTTGCTTATTTCATTTATACCTGAAGGAAATGTTAAATTTCAGATTGAGATAAGTGAAAATGAAGATACCTTTGTTTGTCATGCCAATATACCCATTTCCTGGCATTCCTTTTATTTTACTGTATTTTTTTAACTTAAAATTACCTGTCCAGCAAGCAGTCTGAGACCAACTTCATTATCCCCTTACCATGTTGCCTTCACTGCAAAGAGTAATAGCTGTGATATCTCCCCTAAAGTGTTCCTCCAAGACCACCAACTCGGCATTCCTGTGTGTGTGTGTGTGTGTGTGTGTGTGTGTGTGTGTGTGTGTGTGTGTGTGTGTGTGTGTGTGTTAATCTGAAAGCTTTATTTTTAGATGTATACATACTTGTGGAAATATTTTGCTCATTTTCAAATGTCCAGTTGAGAAGGTACATAGGCTTTCTTGTAGTTCCATAGTCTTTGCCGGCTTCACTCTTCCAAGGAATCCCCAAGTGGATTCTAGCAAGTGAAGCTACTGACATTGGACTCCCTTTCACACCCTTCACAGGGCCCATCCTCTTGTTTATCCCAAGTTCATTTTCCTTTAATTACATGAATTACTTGATTTGAATATGTGATTCATGTCGTCTTGATTACTCAGAATTAACCTGAGCAGAACACAGCTGCTCCATGATAAATTCTGGTGTCTGTCTGGGTTTTTAAGTTTCTCAGTGTAATGGTGTCTCAGGGAGGCCAATGTCCCTAATAGGAATGGCAAATCCAGGATTCCAAGCTCAGACCTCCCCTGCTTACACCTGTCCAATCCTAATCCCTTCTCCTTTGTATCCCAGAGATAACTGGGAATTTGTACTTATGAAAAATTTCTTTCTATCCCTAGCGCTGTACATCATCAGAGTTACGAATGGATGTTCTCTGTTCTGTGCTGAGTTGTAAACCAATGTGATTTTTTTCTCAATAATTTATTCATTTATTTATATACTCCCCTTGCAAAAAAAATTGACTAAGTAGCTTTAGAATTTATGAGTATTTAAGAGCTTGTGATGCATCTCTCCCCTCTTTGGGCCCAATTCTGTTTCTATTTCCTCCCTAACTTCACACAGCACAAGTATCATTTCTTGATTTATAAACGTTGCTGATATCTGTTGACACACTGCTTTAAAGTTTGAGGTTTTTACTCATTGTATACCCACTTCCCATAGGTGCGCGTTTTATAGCTGTGTTGCTATTGAAATTCTTTTCTACTGTGCCTTCTGTGTCAACATAAGCACTGCATCTGTCCACTTTACATTTTCCTTTTCTATTTCATTTTCTGTCAGATATGTATTTCCTCTCATATTGTCAAACTCAACATTATTTACTTTCCTATTTTGAACCAAATGAATACTTCTCGACTTTCACTACAGATTAATTCTAAAAGTTGGGAATTAGCAAAGAGCCTTTGCCTAATTTTGACAATTACAATATTTCTTAGTTAAGGACTCGGGTGAGTCTAGAACCACACTTCTAATATGGTGACCTCCTGGGTCCCTTAAAAATAAGTGTCAACCATCAGCAACCTTCATATTATGCAAGCCATTGATTAACTTCATGTTTAAATTTCCATTTTCTTATGTTATATATTATGTATGGAAGAAATTTTATATGTCTCCAAGATTTCACTTGTATCTTATTTGTTGTTGAATAAGAGAATCATCTTTTGTTCCTGATTTCAAAGACTCTCATTGAACCCATGAAGTCAGGATTTATGTGAGTGGAACTCTAGCATAGGCTAATGGAAGATCAAAATGTTCTTGACTAGAGACACAAAAAAGTAAGCCTACTTATGAGAGGAATAACAGTCATTACATAGATTCTACCTTTGACCCCAAACTTCCCAGTTCAGGAACAAGGAGTTCAGTGGAAGGAAGCCTGCAGATGCAAATCCAAACCCTTTCTATATCGATATCTTAGATGGAGCTCTGTGTTGAGCAATAATAACGGGATATAATTACATCTTTCTTTGGGAATTGTACACAAATGACAATTTCTGTTCTCATCACAGAAGTTTATTAACAATATAAAATAATTTGATAATAAAAGTAAATACTGCTTAATCTGCAGAAAGGACAACCTCAGAGTTCTGCTTTGTGACTCAAGACCATGATTTCTTGTACCCTGGGTAGTTCTTGAATTTCTTCAGAGTTTTCTTTGGTAAGGAAAGTTTCAGAAGATAAATTCACACTTTAGTTCTTAAGTGAGATAATGAGTGTCTTTCCTCAGCTTACTGAAACTCTGTAGCTGAGGTAATCCTTCCACTGTTTTGATCTGAATATCCCTTGTAAATGATCCCCAGGCTGAAGTGAAACAGAACTGTTAATGCATTTTTGATGAGTATTAAAAATTCATGAAAAAATAAAAAGTATGATAAATATTCAAAGGAGCCTGGTTTGAGTTTCTAATTGTGTGTGTGTGTGGTGTTTATGTGTATGCATGTAGAGGCCAGAGGCTGACTTGTGTATCACTGTCAATTACTCTCTGTTTTATTTATTATTTTTAACTTTTCTTTTTCCATGAGAATTTCATACACATACACCATGAAATACAATTGTATCTGCTGCTCCTATTTTCCACTACAGCTCCTCCCAACTTCGAGTCTTTTGTCATATACATATATACATATATGTATGTGTCCCACTAAAGATAGTTACTGCTGCCCATATGTGCTTGGATGTAGGGCCATACACTGGAACATGGCAAACATACCAGTGACCACATCCTCCAAAAAATGAGTAAGTCCCCTTGCCCTTGACCATGTAACTTTCCACTGCCCATAGCTTCTCAATAAGACATGGGGCCTAGTGATCCACTACCACATCTATGTGGAAGTTTTATCTGGCTTGATTTAGTATAGGTCTTGTGAAGGTAGTCACAGCTGCTGTGAGTTCATGACTGCAATAGCCACACCGTGTCCAGAGACAGTACTGCACAGCACTCCTCCCCATCGTATCTTCCTCATTCTTTGTGCCTTGTCTTCTGTACTGGTCCCTTGAGCAATAGGTGGGTAAAGGGTAGTTAATGTAGATGTTCTATTTAGGGCTGAGCACTCAGTCTCTCATTCTCAGAAGTTTGATCACCTTTGCATCTCTCTTTTGAATGCTGTCTCCTGTAAAATGATGCTTCTCTGATCAAGGTTAAGAGCAACTCAGGTCTATAGGTCTATGATTAAATATTTAGAAGGCAATTTGATAACATAATAGTTTAGTAAAATAGCAATAGCATATTCTAATATAGAGCCTATGACCATGAGCTTTTTGCCCAGGATTACAGTACTAGACATGAAATTCCTTCCTGGGGAACAGGCTCAAATTCAAACAAAACATTTGTTATCCCATAATGGCCATGCTACTATTGTATCAGGAGGCAAATCTTGCTTGACAGGTGAGTATTGCAGCATGTAGGGTCCAGCAATGGATAAGATCACTTACGTCTTTCTTCCTGCATATCTTGTACAGTACCTTCCATTACTATGAAATCTAGCCAAGAGGAAATTTCTTGTTGAGCTTGATATTACTTCTCTACATCCTGCAGATAAAGTACATTGTATCTTCAGCAATAGAATCTTACCATGTACTTATGATAGGTAACCAAAGGACATCACATGTATTGATTTACAGACCTCTGGGGTACCTCTGACCAATGAGTCTTAGGGAGGTATCTCCTGCTTTCTATGCAATTTTCACTTAATAGTCCACGTCTTCTGAGAGGGACATTGTCTACCCATGCAGGGTAATTATGCTTGAACTCCCTTTTATTTTTAAGGTTGTATTTTGAAATTAACTTACTAACTAGCACATTTTATATGGATTTTTTATATAGAACCCTGATTTTGGTAAACTCACCTATTACCTCTTCCTCTGTCCCTTTGCTCCACTTTCCTTACCACTTAATCCTTGGACCTTCCTCGCCTCAGGTTTTTTTTTTTTTTTTTTTGGCAGAATCTCTCCTTGAACCTGGAGTTTGCCATGTCAGTTAGACTGGTTGGTCAGAAGACTGCTGGGTCTGTCTGTCTCCATTCCCATTGCTGGTATCGTAGACTATTGGTGAAATTATTAAGGCCACTCCACGTAGTTAAAAGGGAGGTTTATTTTGTGGGGTAACTTACAAGTGAAGGGATAGTTTGCAGGGTCTGGAAAAGGTGTGGCGCGCAACCCAGCGGTGTTCTCTGGAGAACTCTGCTCGGTCTACCTCCAGCGTCCAGGGTCCAGGAACCAAGCGAGCAGGGGGCGTCCGGATCTCGGGTCGTCAGGTTCTTCCTTGGCCCTGCCTTGTAGGCGTGACAGTAACCGCAGCCTCAATGGGGGTTGGATCTTCCAGATCAAAGCTGGAATGGCTACCCACTACAATAGACATGGCTGACTTTTATGTGGGTTCCATACTTAAGCCACTACAATAGACGTGGCTGACTTTTATGTGGGTTCCATACTTAAGCCTCCATGTTTGTGCAGCAAGCACTTTACATGCTCAGACATCTCTCTAGTCCTTTGCCTTAAAAGTATTCCCTCTCTGAACCTTTCTCTCTTACCATACAAAGAACACCATACACCATCCCTCTTTCTACCTTATGAAAAGTCTAGTTGAAAAAAATCTTTGTGTCTGTAGCCTGTCAGGGGTAAATTGAGTAGAAAATTATTCATACTCTGGAAAAACCAAATGCTAATATGGACATTTTTATTAAATGCCCTAAGAAACTACAGATGTTTGAGTAAATTCCACTGATTGCTTTGGCTTGACCTCTTCTCACTGCCCCTTACACAGATGACTGAAATCTTTTCACTGATCTCACCTTGTGTTATCAGTTTCATAACAGGAGGCTTTTGTGGAATCCATGACTTTAGCATTAATGAATTTCCTCTCTCTTTCCCTTCCCGTGTCCCCCACCTGCTGACAACAGCTCTCTATGCAATTCTGTGAGCAGGAAAATGCAGCAAGACTCTCCTTCATTAAATAGGACACCTCATTCAGGTCACTCACACAGCTCATTTTAAATAAATTGAATCAATTTATGCCTATTAGCTACTTGTCCTTGAACTAAGATAATATGGACTGTTCAGGTATCACTCCGAGAAAGAAGTAGGGGAGTAAAAAAAAAAAAATCACAAAATATTCCAAAAGTGGTATTGTACAGAACCTTGCTTTAATAGAACTAAGAAAGAAATGTCTATTACTCTTAATAAACAGGCATTTTTAATTACAAATGCAATAACATAGTTATTACAATAACATAGTATGTTATTGGAGAAAAGTCTTAGGAAAGTCTGAACATTTGAATATGTTTATTGTGGGGTTTTATTGTTGATTTTTTTTGAAATGAGTGAAGTGCTATGAATAAGGCTTATGAATAATTGCTAAGTCCAGATACCTGAGGCTTCTGTTTTCACCTAGGGAAGCTCTTGTAAGAATAAAGCCTTAAGTGAATGAGTAAGTCAAACAAATCTATAAGCTGATTCATAGATGGGAGTTACTTATAAGAGTGGCATAAAAAAATGTTTGATTAAACAGAGTTTAAATTTGGTTCAGATAGATAATCACTGCATTGTCCTTTTCTGATGATGCATGTGTTCTAACAAGTTTCTTTCCTATGTATTTTAATGCAATCTGCATCTTCATTTAGTTAATTCCGATATTGCCACTGTTATCATTGTGGCCCACTTTTCTCCAGTGTTTCAAGCTCCCCTCTCTGTCTGGGAATATGGGATGATCTCTCTTTTCTTTCTTTTTTAAGTTTAGCATGACATGTTGTGGTGGTATTGTGTTCCCCAAAATATTGTGCACCCTAATAAACTTATCTGGGGTCAGAGAACAGAACAGAGACTAGATACAGAGGCCAGAAAATGGTGGCACACACACCTTTAATCCTATCACTTGGGAGGCAGAGATCCATCCGGATCTCTGTGAGTTCAAGGCCACACTGGAAACAGCCAGGAATGGTGACTCACGCCTTTAATGCCAGGGAGTGATGGCAGAAAGCAGAAAGGTATATAAGGCGTGAGAACCAGGAAGGTTGGTTAAGCTTTTAGGCTTTGGAGCAGCACAGTTCAGCTGAGACCCATTCGGACGAGGACTCAGAGGCTTTCAGTCTGAGGAAACAGGATCAGCTGAGGAATTGGCGAGGTGAGGAAGCTGTGGCTTGTTCTGTCTCTCTAGTCTTCCAGCTTTCACCCCAATACCATGCCCCAGGTTTGTTTTTATTAAAAAGACCTGTTAAGATTCGCGCTACATCTGGCACCCAACATTTGTGGTACGAATTCATGAAAAAGCCGCTTGCCTGTAGCCTTGCAGCCCCAGCTCAGACCTGAGCTACCCTCAACCGGTTGTGGTGGAGCACACTGGTTGGATTTACTGAAGGGGGCAGAGGCAGGAGGATCCCGAGTTTGAGGCAGGAGGCTTGCTAAGGAGAAGCTACGGCCGGGGCCCAGCCACAAACAGTAGCGGTGGGACCATGAAGGCAGCGGCTGCTGCTCTGAGTTGCTGGCTCCTTCTCATCGTGTTGGTGACTGCGGTGATGCTGCTACCTGGGACCAAGGGTTTACTGCTCCTTGTTCAGAGAAGAATAGCCAGGACCATCATGTTACAAGAAAGCATCGACAAAGGTCAGTTTGGAAAAATTTCGCAAGACAAATGGCTCAATCCCAAGCCTCAGGTTTTTTTTTTTTTTTTTTTTTTTTTTTTTTTTTTTTTTTTTTTATGAAAAAGACCTGTTAACATTCGTGCTACAACATGTCATTGTTTGGCCATTGAAATGTGCCAGGGTATGTGCTATTCATGACTTTTTTTTTTTTTTTTTTTTTTTTTTTTTTTTTTTTTTTTTTTTTGGTTTTTCGAGACAGGGTTTCTCTGTGTAGCTTTGCGCCTCTCCTGGAACTCACTTGGTAGCCCAGACTGGCCTCGAACTCACAGAGATCCGCCTGGCTCTGCCTCCCGAGTGCTGGGATTAAAGGCGTGAGCCACCACCGCCCGGCTTCATGACTTCTAACTTGCAGCTATTGGTGATGCTTTATGATTTCCTAATTTCTTGCATTGATGATCATGGAAGCAAAGCATTGAAATAGCCTAAAAAGAGATTCCTGACCCATGACAGATTTATGATAATGAACAATGACTTTGTTTTGTACTAACCCACTGAAAGTTTGGAGTTACTTTCATTGCTTTATGACTGAGCCTCTTCTTATTGAAAGAAACTTTTATGGCCTTTTTTTTTATTTCTAGAACATATGTGGTGATTATTCTTGATAGAAGCTCAGAGTTACTTTACAAAATGTACTGACAGTTGGAAAGTTGTGAGCTGGAGGGTCCAGATGTTGACCTGTCAGGAGCAGACAAGTATATGCTTCATGAGTTTCTCTAATTAATGGAGAGGAGCCATATAATATAATGGAAATCAGGCTTAGCACAAGGTTCTCTTGGGATATATGTTTGTGATTATTGTAAAAAAAGAATGTATCATTTAATTATAATTACTAATCACTGTTGGCCACTCTCATTGCTCATTTCCACATTGATAAAGCTTCATAGTGATGACTTTAACAAAAAGAGTTACAACAACAAGGGTAGGTGTGACAACAGCTACCAATGGTTCTCTTCTTAGAATTCTTGGGGTTTCAGAAGATAAATGCTGAAAAAATAGAGGAATTCATTTTCCATAAAGAACATCACCAACCTGTAATGATCAAGTCCTTCTCCACCTTTTTTGATCCTGGCTTGCTTCCATCTATGCCATTTTCCAAATTTATCCAAAGGAGATATTTTTATAAACTGTAGACTTTTCAACTCATGAAAAGGGCACATGCTTGAAATCAAACACCCTTTTTGGGTGAGAAAGGATGGGGAAGGTGTCTGTTTAGTTGGGTCTTGCAAAATGCTTCATAAATTCTTCAGAAGAATAAGAAACATTTAAAATGTAGTTATTGTATGACAGCCTCCCACCATGGAAATTCCGTTAGGTTCTTTTTTTTCTGTGGCAAAAAACTCTTCACTTTCTCCTAAAGTGGATTTGATGGCCTAAAAGCTTGGTGTATTTAATTTAAATAACTCTTTGTTTGTGAAGTAGGAAGGAGAATAAGGCTTAAATAATTTGCTAATGCCTCATGAGCAAAAGTAGTAAACTCTCCCTAATACAGCCAACATAAGCATCACCTATTGCCAGTAAGTAGGGAAATGGGTGAGCTGGAAGGCCTCCTGCCTTGCTAATCTTTATGAAATCCTCAAAGAGATGTGTAGATATGCTTACTCACTACTTCTTCATTTCTTTTCTAGTCTTAAACTCCTTTAGGAATATTGACTTAGAGGTAAAAATTTGCTGTAATGTGTGTCCAGCTCCTAGCAAATATTGAAATGACTAGGCTCTAGCCTTTTGGGTTTATTCTATAGACTTTACTTCTGATTGATACATGCACTTACTTCAGCATTTATGCTGCTCCTTCCTGCTCCTTGTGTTCTCCTAATTTATTTTCCTGGAGACCACGTAACCCTAAGTTTTCTTCACTGATATCAGCATCTATCTTGAGTTTTATGGTTACTCCTCAATTTATTAAGAGTATTATGAATCACAATTGTTAGTTTATATTGATCATTTTTGTAGGTTGTACACATATTGGCATAAAACATTTTATATGGTTCATATATTAATTGCTAGGTGTACAGCTCCAAGGAGAACTTAAAGAATTGCATGATAATACTTGAATGATATATTTGTGAATGTATTTTTGTTAATCTTCAAAAGACTAATAAAAATTAATTCACTGAAGTGACATGAAGTTTATATATATTATACATTAATCATTGTATTCTGGTTCTTCAAGCCAAAAGTAATGTGAAAGAAGCTCAAAGGAAAAGAAGCCATGATGGTCTACACTTGAGGCCCAGCCAGTTTTAGGCCACTATCTCTCCATTATGATGAGCTTCCATTTTCCAATAATGAAATAATATTTAACTTGTCCTGTTTAAAATAACTCTTTGGATAGAAAATAGAACAGCATAGAAATATTTTATACTTTACCCATCAAAGAAGCAGCACAGACCTTACCTTCAACTTATCTGTAAAGACAATTGTGAAAAGTTTATAAATCTTCCCCTTTTTTCACAACACAAACAAATAGAAATACAAAACCAAGAGCTCAGAATTCCCCATGGTTCCTCTGACAACATGGAAGGAGAGAGAGAAGAACACTTTGGAGGACAAAGAAAGCCGATGAAATGCAAAGATGCTGATCCTGCCCCTTGCCTGATCTGTTACAGACACTTCAACTGTGCAACCTTACCAAGTACTCCCATCCTGCCATGTGGAGATCTCCATCCCATTTTACAGGTAGGATAATAATCATATTTTGGACATGAAATGTGCCTCATCACCTCATTCCTTAAAGGTGTTGTCCCCAGCTGGTCATGATATTTGGGGAGATATGCAAATTTATGTTGTCTGGAGGACAAAAGCCACTGATACATGACTTTGAAGGGTCTATTGAGTCCCTTTCTCTCTCTCTCTCTCTCTCTCTCTCTCTCTCTCTCTCTCTCTCTCTCTCTCTCTCTCTCTCTCTCGGCTTGCTGCCTTCAATGGAACTAGCAGCAACTGTATCGTGTTCTTGCTACAATAATGTTCTGCCTTTAGCTGAATCCTTTGAAACCATGAAGCAAAATAACTCCTTCCTTCCCTAAGTTACTTCTGTGAGGCCTTTTGTTCCAGTGACACCAAAGTAACTAATACAGGAACTAAGGCTCACAGAGGAAATATGACTTGCCCGAAGAGAAGAACTTAACTGACAGACTCATTACATAGAATGGCTGACTTTAATAGTTAACTTCATCCATAGCTGAAGGCATTGGTTTTCATAGGAGCATGGAAACCAAATAGTTCTTGGTAAAGGAAGGAACTCACCTCTTTGTAACTTCTTTAATAGCACTTCTGTCCTTAACCCTTTCTTTAGATCATAAATGAAGCCATATCTCTGATGAACCTCCATAAGATAAAAGGAAATAAACCAATGAAATGTGAAGTTTTTATATCTTCATTTCGGCTGCCCCATCCTACCTTAGCAATCAGCTTGCTGTGTAAAGAGAACCTAGAAGGCACACATGCCCTTTGAAAGAAAACAGTATTACAAATAACATTAATTAATGACATAGAATATTAGAAACTCATGTATTTGGGGACATCAGGCAGCCTTGCTTCTTAACATTGTAAAATATTATATATCTGAGAATGGAGCTGGTCATACTGTCATTGAAAAATTGGTCATAGATAGCAGATGTCTGTCTGTCTATCTATCTACCATCCATTCACCCTTCCATCTATCCATCCATCTATACAAGGACCTCTTTCACACTGAAAATAATTATGGCAATATGAAGATATTTTTACCTCCTTGATATATACTTTTTGTTATTAAGCATATTTTAAGTTAAAACAAAAATATACAAAACATTATTAATTTACTTTGTTTTAAAATCGTAATATAGTAAATATCTGTTAACATTAACAACAATTATTTTCTTTTGTTTAATTTATAAAGTAACATTTGTTTCTTATACATTTCAAATTCAAAAAAAGTTTAACAAGACAAATGGCATTGTTTAACAACTTTACAAATCTTTTAAACTTCTGGATTAACACAAAAGAGCCATATTCTCTCAACTGCTGAGCATTAATTTTGTTCAGGGTTTTTATTTTTAATGTTTTTTTATATTTATATTTAAACCCAGCTTTATACAAATCTATGTTGACGTAGGGAGGACCTCATAGAGTCATTGAAAGAAGACAGAAGTTGGATGGGGTTTCTATCACAACAATTAGGGTGTTTGGCCATCCCATCACCAGAGTAGGTCAGTTCGGGCTATATCTCGACCATTGCCAGCAGTCTGTTGTGGGGGTATCTTTTTGGATTTCTGTGGGCCTCTCTAGCACTTTGCTTCTTCCTATTCTCATGTGGTCTTCATTTACCATGGTCTCCTATTCCTTGTTCTCCCTCTCTGTTGTTGATCCAGCTGGGATATCCCTCTCCCGCAAGCTCTCTTTCCCTCGACCCTCGCCCTTCACTACCCCCATTCATGTCCAGGCTGTTCATGTAGATCTCATTCCATTTCTCTGTCATTTGGCGATCCCCGTGTCTTTCTTGGGGTCCTGTTTTCCAGGTAGCCTCCCTGGTGATGTGAGTAGCAGTCCAGTCATCCTTGTTCCACATCTAGTATCCTCCTATGAGTGAGTACATACCATGTTTGTCTTTCTGAGTCTGGGTTACCTCACTCAGGATGTTTTTTTTCTAGATCCATCCATTTGTCTGCAAAACTCATGATGTCATTGTTTTTCTCTGCTGAGTAGTATTCCATTGTATATATGTACCTCATTTTGTTTATCCATTCTTCAGTTGAAGGGCATCTAGGTTGTTTCCATGTTCTGGCTATTACAAACAATGCTGATATGAACTTAGCGGGATCTGGATGCAGAGATCCATGGCTAGGCCCCAGGTGGATCTCTGGGAGTCCAATTAGTGAGAATGAGGAGGGTTTATATGAGCGAGAATTGTTGAGACCAAGGTTGGATAAAGCACAGGGACAAATAGCCAAATGAATGGAAACACATGAACTATGAACCAATGGCTGAGGGGTCACCAACTGGATCAGGCCCTCTGAATGGGTGAGACAGTTGATTGGCTTGATCTGTTTGGGAGGCATCCAGGCAGTGGGACCGGGTCCTGTGCTCAGTGCATGAGTCAGCTGTTTGAAACCTGGGGCCTATGCAGGATCGCTTGGCTCGGCCTGGGAGGAGGGGACTGGACCTACTTGGACTGAGTCTACCAGGTTGATCTCAGTCCACGGGGAAGGCTTTGCCCTGGAGGAGGTGGGAATGGGGGGTGGGCTGGGAGGAAAGTGAGGGGGGTGGGAGGGGGGAGAACAAGGGAATCTGTGGCTGATATGTAGAACTGAATTGTATTGCAAAATAAAAATAAAAAAATTAAATAAAAAAAAAAAGAAGACAGAAACTCGAGCCAGAGACTAGAATTTGAGCAGAGGTATACTAAAGATGCAAAAGAACGACTGCCCAAGTACAGAGCATTCAACATGGTATGGCAGCATAGAGTACAAATGCTCATTATGTATCATGAGACCACTTATCCCTAGACTGCTGTGTAATGTGCAGAGCTATGCCTAGGATGTGTTAAAAAAAATAGTAGGATTAATACTTTTCGTGCAAGTGGCTAGATGGAAACATGTATTCATACCTTCCTTTACACAAAGGAAACTTTCAGTTTCTTTGACCTCCTTTAAATCAGACTACTGACAGCCATTACATTTTTTTCTGGTAAAAATATAGAATAAATTACTGGGAGAAGAAACCTAAATTCTCACTGAGGAAGAAACTACTCTGAAGTGAAGGCTTTATGCCCAGCAGTAGATGGCCAACAGAAAATTAACACAAAGGCATCTTTGGAGGCTTCTTGTTTCATAATATCATGTCAAGGAACTAACTTAAAAAAACTTATTATTTTCTTCTGTCCATTTAGCCTACATATCCTTTATGTATATATTGTGACTTGCTGTTTAGTATATCTATGGAATTTCTGAATGTGTAATAAGTGGATTTCTTTTTTCTTGTGCCTTCTCTTGGACTCTTTTCCATCTGTTTGTTTTGCACAATTCCCATGTGTTAGCTTTTGTTTTACCTTGTTTTATTGAAGCCTGTTTGTTTTCTAATGAGAGACAGAAAGGGATACAGGATGGGAGGGGAAGTGAGGGCCGGCTTGGAAGAGTAGACAGAGGAAAAACTATTATTGTGGTATATTGTATGAGAAAAATATCTATTTTAAATAAAAGGAAAAAGTACATTCTTACTTTAAAGCTCAGAATCTTGATGACATTTGTGCATATGCTCTGCTTCTCAAGATAATTGCTATCTTTTTTATTTTTCTAATCCTTACAAAAAATTAAATATAATTTAGTATTATAGAGTTGGAAACTCAAATACTTGATGTCACACTAGAATCAACAAGCAAATGTGAAGGTAATCCCTTTTGCAAATCTCCTTTGGATACTGTATAAACTTCCATGAGTTAATATTAGTTTTATTTTCAACTTGTTAATGTTCAGCAATTAAAAATGACTGAATTTGTTAATAATGACCATATGCCCTGTAGCTGTTTCATAAGACTGTCAAGAATTAAATTAGGTTCTCTATTTCCTTATTTAATGACTGTTTTATTGGTGTATAATTCACACACTATAAAATTCACCTGCTTAAAAATATACAATCCAGTGCTTATAATGAATACTCAGAGTTGTAGGTACAATACAACCTATTTTCCTATTTATTTTTATGAACATCAAGGACTTGCAATATTGGGGTGCATAGTTCTTTATTTCTGGGTATGAACATCATTATACTCATTTTGTGCAAGCCTGTGATGAGAGATTAAAACCATCAAGCATTTGATTTTCCCCAGAAGTGTGCATTCTAGTGATTTATGTTAAGATTCTTTTGCAGCTAAATCGATGGATGGTATCAACATTAATATATTGATACAATTTTATTTAGAACTTAAAAGCTGTGAGAAGCTTATTTTTAATAACAGTAATTGAGTTAAAATTAAGTTAATTAAAAACCCTTTCTTGAAGGAAGCACATATAAAAATGATGAACAGAGGAGAACTTGATTAGGCTGAAGAAAGGCATAATTCATTATTTTCTGCTCTGTTTTATTTTGTATGTCGTGGTCTTTTCTAAACATTTCATTGTTTTAAGCTGTTTTTTAATTTTAGTTTTTTTTAAATTTGTTTGACAATCATATATACTATGATCAGAGTCACCCCATTAACCTTCCTTAACCCTTTCATCCCACTACTGAACTTCTGCCAAATAGTTCTTCTCATTTCATGTTGTTATTTTTCCTTAATCCACTCAATTTAATCATGTTTGCTTGTATGAACATAGATAGAAGGTTATTTACCAGAACATGGGCAGTTTACCAGTTGCTACCCCATTGATGAAAATAATTTTCCCCACTTGCCTCCACAGACACACATCTGAAACCATTCATCGTCAAACTCCTCAGCAGAGGCTTGATCCTCATGAGCCCTTTCCTCATCTGTGATGGAATGGTGAAAGAGTTCCATTTTGTGCAGGCCTTGTACAGGTAAACCCAGTTTCTCTAGGAACAAGACTGCAATGTCACTGTCATAAGACAGTGTTTCATATCATTCCTCCCCATCCTCTGACTCTTCCATCCTTTCTTGTGCCTCTTTTACAATATTCCCTGACCCTGGTGTGCTGTGGGATAATGCTCTTGTAAACTGTAAAGATGTGTCACTCAAATTGGTTTAATGAAATGCTGTTTGGCCAGTAGTCAGGCAAGAAGTATAGGCAGGACAAGTAGACTAGAAGAATTCTAGGAAGAGGAAGGGCGGAGTCAGGAGTCACCAGCCAGACACAGAGGAAGCAAGATGAGAATGCCTCACTGAGAAAAAGTTCCCCAGCCATGTAACTAAACATAGATAATAATTATAGGTTAATTTAAATGTAAGACTAGTTAGTATAAGCCTGAGCCATCAGCCAATCATTTATAATTAATGTAAGTCTCTGAGTGATTATTTTATAAGTGGCTGTGGGACAGAGTGGGACACAGAAAAGTCTCTGGCTACACTGGTGGGCATGATATGGATGTCCCCTTTAGAGGTGAGCACCCACTGGTCATTTATTCTTAGCATTTTGACAGTTAACTGTCACTGACTATGAAAAGATGCTTCTCTGACCAAGGCTAAGGGCAACACTAGTTTCCAGTACAAGCATGAATATTTTTAAAACAGTTTGATTATATGTCCATTTAACAAAGCATTAGTAGTAGATTCAAGGGTAGGGTACTTTTGAGAAAGTTGACTTCACACTTGTTGAGTGGTTCTCAAGTCAGAAATGATTTTGTTACTCTTCAAGGCAGTCATGCTATCATTGCACCATTGACAAATCTTACCAGGCAGGTCAGTATTAAAGCACATGGTACCCACAGCTGAGGAAGAGAGGTGATGGGTTTTCTTTCCCAACAATCTGGGTCATACCTACCGTACTATGAATACAAACCAGTAATGACAAACAACCCAATAAAAAAAAATGAGCTGTGGAACTGAATGGAGACTTCTCAAAAGAAGGAATACAAACAGCATTTGACACTTTTAAAGTTGTTCAACATCATTAGCCATTAGAAGAGGAAAATGAAAATGTCTAGAGATTCCATCTCACCCTAGTCAGGATGACTGTTATCAAGGAAACACATGATAACAAATGCTGGTGAGGATGTAGGGAGAAAGGAACCCTTGGTGACTGCTAGAGGGAGCGTATATCGGGGCTTTAAAACCTCTTTAAGTCAACTTTGCTATTTCCTTTGCACATTTGATTCCAGTGCAGTTTGCTTCAAAGATGATCATATTTAAAGCTAGTTGAATTCTTTTAAAAGGTTTATTACATTAATTTAAAAGCAATTTGGTGGTAACCAGACTAATAAACATGACAATAACATTCAAAGTCAGGTTTTGTTATCTCATGTTTACTCATTAAAATAATGACAAATATTCCTCCACTTTTCACAAATATTAGAAGATACATGAGTGCCTCACAAATTCTTGTCAAATGAACCTTGATTTACATTTGTCACTTATTGAGAAATTCCTCACCTTTTTTTTTTTCCTTTCCTTGTCTGTAATGAGCATTTGACTTGTGATCATTCCCCATCATTGATTTGGCTCGATGCAAAGCTGCTTGTACTCTTCTGTTTTTCTGTGAAATCCTTTGAGAGACTATTCATGTTTTCTTGTGTTTTTTATTCTGTTTCAACATTCATATTTCACAGGTTTTTTTTAGTACTATTTCATTGTTTTTAAGATTTATTTTTATTTTTATGTATGATGTGTGTATGTGTGTGTGTGTGTGTGTGTGTGTGTGTGTGTGTGTGTGTGTGTGTATGCACGTGTGTGTGCACATGTGGGTGCCACAGTGTACAGAAAAGAGAGAACCAGATACCCTGGAGCAGAAATTGTAGCCTGATGTGGGTGTTGAAAACTGAACTCAGGTCCTCTGCAAGAGTAGGAAGTGCTCTTAAGAGCTAAGCCATCTCCTCAGCCTCATAGTAATATGTTTGTTGATTTTTTTTTATCCAATGTGTCTTCCTGCTCTAGAACCTCATATAGATCACAGGGATTTGGTGACCTTTCAGAGACTACAGTGGTATCTGATGGGCCACCATTGCATCTTCCTTAGCGTGACTTTTTAGTGGACTCAAAATTCCACTTGACTTGGGAAATTGTTTCTTCTTTGCACTTCTCTATCTCAACACACCTATTCCAAGCCCTTGTTCCAATTTAACCCTACACCCTACTAGAAACACATTGCCTAGTGGATGTTGAAGGAGAAGTGCTTCACTCTTGGATTTTCAAGGCTCCATACATGGGCTCCATGCCACACAGGGTCTCACTGAAAATAGCATCTGAAGTCATTTTTGTCTGTGTTCATACAGAAAGTATGTTAGAAAGCTACCTCAGGCTAGCCTTGTCCATTTGCATAGGAATTATAGAAGAGTTTGGACAGCAGAAGTAGCACAACTGGCTAACTGTAACAGAAAATTTGGTGGAATATAAACTGTAGAAGCAGACATCTGTACTTCTTTGGTCTGCTCTACCACTTTAATATTGAATGGTATTTGACATAATCTCTGAGTTGGCAAATGTGTTATCTGCTTGCACCAGAAAGATATGGCTCTGTAGAATTACATGGGCTTTTTCCAATCCATTAAATATGTTTGAGGTGCCTACAATGTTTAAATATGGACTTTGCTGTGGGATAGGGGCTCATGCCTATGCAATAATTGAATGGGGAAATTGATGTTTATTTTAACAAAATCAAATCACCTTTCAATGAGTCTATTCTTTCCCATCATGAGCGAAGCATCGCGTTATGGAAAAACCTTAAGAAGTGGACTTTCATGCACTCTTTACTGATTTGTGCCTCCAGTCCTTTCTTCCAGTTGTCTACAATCCTTTTAAGGACTGCAAAGTTCCCTGCTTACCTAATAGTGATAATCTGAACCAGAAGAAGCATCAACAGAAAGCAAGATTTAGGGAAAAAATAGTAGAAAACATCAATCTATACTTCTTTCTCTTTCCTATGGAGGATACAAATAGGATAGGTGAAGAGTGTCACAGAGCATACCTACTCTGTTTTCAAAATGGCATTTATAAATGTAGTTTATTCCTTTAACATTAGGTTTTGATCTTAATCATTTGAATATGAAGGATAGCTGAGAATATATCTACATATGTTTGATTCTCAACAAATATGTAGTTATTATCCCTTTATCAAATATGTATTTGATTAGAAAACTCTTTTTTGAGTGGTAGGGGAGTCATGGGTAAATTGTTCAGTTGAATCCATTCTTCATGGAGACAGAGACAAATGATAAGTGCATGATCTAACAAACACAGAGGAGAATAGCAAGTAGATTTGAGTGCTATGAAGTTTAGAAACTTTACAAAAACCTTCTCAATGAATGTCTTAAGTTGACCCCAATTTCTCAGTAGGCAACATACACACAGAGGGAAGAAACTTCTCATTCTCTAGGCAAAAATCTAGAATAAAATTCAGGGTGATATGAGGAAAGGTACAATTCTAATTCTCTTAGGAAACACTTCTAAAACTTCTTGGCACTGAGTTCTGCCTTTCCATGTCTTCTGTGTCACCTGGGAGCTAAGCATATGCTGCGGAAATGCTTGAGTAGGAGATATTTGGAAAGGGTGCTGTTGGTTAACATTTCACAACTGCATTTTGACTAGCTTAAAAGCAATCTAAAATAATTTCCTTCAAAAATGTGTAAATTGAAAAAGAGTTGATTACTTCTAATCATAAATGGCTTTCTTTTCTGAGAACAGAAAAAAATGTCATTTCAAAGTCCTATCAATGGAATGACAAGATACTGAAGCAGTCCTACTCCTTTAACTTTGCTGCTTACTAATAGGCTTTTCTCTCCCAACAGCAGTTGATGGGAAATAATTATGTAAAATTTCCTTGTCCTCTATATAGATTTCTTTCTCTGAAGCATTTCCCGCAGGCATACCCCAAAGCCAGTTGTCATCTCACTTTGCATGGCTTATGATCCTCATCGCTTACAGTTTCAACTCTGATCCCACAACTTGGTTCTTTTTCAAAGCAAAAAGCACACACACACACACACACACACACACACACACACACACACACACACACACACAAATTGTTAACCAGGGAAACACTAGAAGCTTCTTTCCAGCTGATCTCACCAATGCTACAGTCATTTTATTAAGATGAACAGTTCCCTTACTATAAACATGTTTCCATATCCTGGCCCTTACAACCCAATGGGAGAATTATGTAGGAGGCTAAGACATGTACTTATGCATTGAACGCCAGTCTGAGCTACATGGTAAGTTCTAGACCAACCTGGTATCCATAGTGAAATCACCTCATAACTCAGAGAAACACATAGACAAACAAATAGAAGAAAATAAAATAGGTCTTGGTGATAAAATTAAGAAATTAAGAAAATTAGAAAAAAGAACAAGAAATGATCTTATTCACAAGAGTTTTCAACTGAGACAAGTGTTTCTGTAGGTAGTACCCAGAGAAGCTGACTTCCTTGATTAAACTTGCCACAATGCAGCTGCAGGTCCAGGCATACCTACAGTGTCCAGAAGTGGGAAGAGAAAAGCAGCAAGCTGTACCTCAAGTTTTTGCCAACACCTTGATTTTGTGCTTCCAGCCTTCCATAATGATGAAAATAAATTTCTGATATTTAAAGCAATTAGTTTGAGGCAATTCATTATAGCATTTCTGTGAAACTAATAAAGCTACTGTAGTTGTAAACTCTGTCCCAAAATAGTCTGCAAGACACTGGATGAGTGTATCTTATACACAGAAAGTTCTGAATGGGTGTGGTTTGATGAGGTCTCCTCAAGAAGGTGAAGTATCAATTATAAAGATATCCCTGTTTTTAGAATCTGTCATCCAGGGTCAGTTCTCTGTCTTCAATCAGAGAAAAGACAAACCAAGTTTTGAAGGAGCTGTTCTGCTGAATGACAGCAATAGTCTTCAGGAGGCTCTGCCAGCAAATCACAGCAG